AAGCCATTAGAAACCAGCATCAGCCTCAACTTCAGAAGCCCACAAAGTACGTGGCCACAGCAGCTGGGAAAGCACTCTGGGATGTACCACAGCCAGCATGCCACTCCTGTATGCCCCTCCTGGCATACCCCTTTGACAGGCACCAGACAGACTTGGCACAGACGTTTTTATGCAGAGAGCAAGCGTCGCCCTTAACAGCTGGCAGGTGTGTTGGTGCTACAGCGAGTGGGATGCACAGAAGCAGTCACAAGGCAGCTTTGGAGGGGGATCAGTACCTGCATTGCTGAAGACCCACGTGGAGATGTTGGCACCCGTGCTCATGATGTATTCCACGTCCAGACTGGCCTCCAGCCCAGCCTTGCCCTTGCCCTGGTGCCCAACCACTTGGTCAACCTGAGAGCGGTGGCCAAAGCTGCTGCCAAAGAGCTGCATAAACTCAGCCAGGTCGGCCTGGTGGAAATACTGTTCCAAGAACTGGGGGGACAAGGAGCGGACAAGTTTTTTCTCATTTTCTCTTGAAAAAACAAGGTAAGTTTTTTCTCCTTAGAAAGTTGGCCCAGTGCAGGTCTGTGAAACGCTAGCCCACTGGGCACTCCCACCTGAGGAATCCCCACAGCTGTCCTGGGACCACCAGAGCAGCAAAGTGTTGGAGAAGCACCAATGTGTGGAATTCCCACAGCCTACAGGCCTCTGACCTGGACTGGCTCCACCAGTTACCTGGGCGCAGGCCTGGCTGTTGTTTGGCAGAAGCCCGATGTCGTCTCCTGTCATGTTGTATCGCTTACGAATGATGGACGGCGTCACGCCCAGGTGGAACGCCGCTCTCCCTCCATAGTGCTGCCTTGACTCCATTTCCTTCTTGGCCCAGGCTCTGCTGACCACCTTTCTCTCCGCGGGGAACCGGTGCAGACCACCCACTGGCACACAAGGAAGCAGAAAAAGCAGCAGCTGTTGGGGCCCAGAGCTCTGGCAGGACAGTATCATGGTCCCTCAGCTCCCCCTTCACCATCCTCACTCAGGCTTCATGTCCGAGAGGGCTGACCTGCAGCAGGGCTCAGGAGAGCCCATCCCCTGCAGCACTGGCGCTGAGCGCTGCGCAGGAGGTGAGGAAGTACTCCCTCGGCTTCCTCGCCAGCCCTCAGATCTTCCCAAGCTGCACGGCTCAGATTCCACACTGCCAGGCCACTACTGCAGCCTGGCACCCCTCTGCTCTCCTCGTGGAATGGCCGTGGGAGCCCACACACAAGGGACTCACAGGAGGGAATTTTTCCACCTCAGAAGCAGCTGCACATCCAGAGAGACAGGCTGCACCTGAGCTCTCCACACTGAGCATCCAGGCCAGACCAGAGACCACCAGTAAGCAACACTTTGGATGCTGCCTGTCCACATCGCAGGACGGTTTGGGTTGGAAGGGACCTTTAAAGGTCATCCAGTCCACCTCCCTCTGCCACAAACAGGGACACCTTCCACTAGATCGGGTTGCTCAGAGCCCTGTCAAACCTGGCCTTGAACGTCTCCAGGGATGGGGCATCTACATCCTATGCACAAAGTACCTCAGGGTGGCCTCGGGGCAGCCAGGACCATGGCTGGAGGGCCTGCCACCCTGTCCTCTGGGACACCAAGATGGCCAGTCTTGGCTGCTCAGTGCTGAACCTCCCACCTGCACCCCAGCTTCTGAGAGCTTGGGGCAGCCTCAGCTCACCCGTGTAGGACATACCAAAGTCAACATGCTCAGCCAGCTCCTCGGGGACGGCGTAGGGGAGCGGGGAGCGCACAACGCTGCGCTGGCCCTTCACGTAGCGGTGGAACTCAGCCCCTGGCAGGAGGTGCTCAGCCGTGCTGCAACACAGGGACAGCCGCCACGTGAGGATTCGCGTCACCGCGAGAGCCACCAGCGCGCTTGTCCAGCAGCGTGCCTGCCCTCTGCCCTGCCTCCCGCACCCTCTCCACCCTGCTTGGTGCTGGGATGAGCAAGGGACGATGAGTCACCAGCACAGTTAACCTCATAAAGCAAAGAGCACCTTCCACACCTGACCAATGCCCACCACCAAACTGAACCGGAGGTCTGGCGCTGCGGGGTGGGTCCTCTGCCAGTCTATTATCCCCAGTCCTCGAGTGGGGACCTGCAGCCCCACAGAAGGCAAGAGGAGACGTGGGGCTGGCCCAAGCACCTAATGGACTGGCACGCCTTGTTTCCAGCACTCCAGATCACTGGCTGTGGCTTTCCCAGCACCAAGACAGCACAGAGGCAGCCAGCTCTTGGCTGCGGAGCC